TTGAGAGAAGGAATCCCACCCTAGCTATTAAGTATTTTTGCTTGACAAGGCCAGAACAGGCCACATGCCCCTGAACAAATACTGTCCTAACTGTATTACCCCCCACTATATCATACAGAAGCAGCAGAAGAATTTACTGGAAGCTCCTATGGCCTAGATGTGAAGCAGAGGACTTGAAGTGAAAGATTCTTTTAATATTCACAATAGCATAATGTTCAGGCCCCATTCAGAATGTCCCCACAGTTGAAGTCTACAGCCCAGAGCCACACTGAGGTTACAATGCCTGAAAGAAACTGACCAACATGAAACTTGCTCCAGCTAATTCCAGGTCCCTACACAACCCACTGCTGGCCAGTCCTTGGTTTCCACCACCAAGCTTGGATACAACAGCCCACCCAGACGGGGTCTACTAACCTTGTTCCATGTGTTCTGAGGAGCTAGGATGGCTGCTGGCCAATTCAGTGCTTCCAGGGACAACTCTACCAGGGAGGCCAGACACTAAGATATGAGTCCACACCAAGATTTCATGCACAGATTTCCAAAAACTAAGGCCTTCCATAAACCACACAGGGCCATGAGTGTAAGGGGTCTAGGGAGCAGCAAGGAACAAAGAAAACTGTCACTGGAATTTAAATAACCCAGCAAGGGCCTCTGAGATGGCTCAGTGGGTAAAAGTGCTTGCTGTCATGCCTTCTTAGAACCCCCATAGTAGAAGAGACCCATCTCTCACTGGTTATCCTCTAGCCTCCACACATATGCGTGCGTGTGTGCATGCGCACAGACACACCAAATAAAATGTAAGAAAAATACAAGACCCAAGACCCAACTTGATGATTTTAAAAAATCCTATCACCTATGTGTCTTCAGCATGAATATATGTGCCCAACAAATACTGGAGTCATAGCAATCACTGTCTCCCTAAATGAGTGCCAGAAGCACAGCTCACAGCTTTCTGAACAGAAGCTGTGCCCCCTACCACAGAAATTAGGAGGCAGGTCCCTGCTCCAGCTGTTGCAAGCATGCATTTTAACAGCTCTTCACATGTCTAGGAGCTTGATCAGAAAGAATCCCCACCTACAGTACCTCCATGGGCAACCATCCTCAAAAAGCAGATAGCCTAGTGGAAGAGAAGTAGACCTTCCTCAGTGTCCAGAGAGCCCTCCTCTGCCTGGAAGCCCTGAGTTCTTGAGTTTGTTTAATGGCTACCCAATTCCTGGGATGGGAGGTTGAGAGGGAATGTGCATTGCTCACTGCCCTAGTCATCCAGTCATCCAGGCACATTTATTGTGCACATGACACATTCCACCCCCAGAACTCCCAGGTTAGGAGAAACTACAGGTCTGGATCTGAAGTCCATTCTGATGGACCATCAGTTGTCCTGTCAGCTGAGTGACTCTGGGCATTCTGCTTCTCCTTAAGAGCTTCAGTGGTCCTATATACAGGGCATATTAGCAGGATCCACTTCAAGGTGGTAACAAGCTATAAGGCACCATGAGCTTCAGGTACAAGAAGTACTCAAACACAAGGTAACAGGAGCTGTACATGTTCCCTGGTCAGCCTGGACAGGGTCTTGAGATGAGCCAGAAGAGACATCCCTCCAGGTTCCTACTATCCCATTAATCAGAGTATATTGTCTGCCTGGCTGTGAGGCCACCTAATGACCCTGGCACCCTGCCAGTTTACCTGCAAGGACATCTTGGCGTTAAAACAAGGGTGGGGTCAACTTCTGTCTAAAGACCAGGCATGTTGGACTCCAGCCACCAGAAGAGGCTTATCTACCAGGGCCCACTATCACTGACCACACATACAGTCTTGACCCTTGGGTCCATGCACACAGTAGGACCCCAACAAATATTCAAAGCTTATGTTGCCAGTGGTGACCTCAACAGGGAGCTACTGAAGGTTGTTAGGCAGGAGACAAACTTCTGCTTGCCTTTCTAGACTCAAACCTCTACCCTCAAGTTAGCAAGGATTGTGTCTTGACCCAGTCAGCCTCTTGCACCAGTTATTTCTCTGCCTGGCATGCTGTTTCCTCTGAACATCTCACATCCCCCTCCAAGCTGAAGTAAAAAGCTGAACTTCATACATATACCAGTTTTTTCCATAGCAGAGTAGTATTCCTTTCCAGGGTCAAGCCCCACAGAGGACAGTGCCATAATCCAACTTCCCCCTGTGCCCCCAACACCGGTCCACACAAGCAGGCCGATGGGGACTGCTTATGCTCAAGGATTCTGGCTCAGATGGTATAGAGGACTAGGCGGGAAGACGATATGAGCCAGGAGGGAACAGAAAGGAGTTTAGTGGGGTGAGGGGATGGAGGAGAGTCATCTATTGTTTACGTAGGGAGGGGTGGCACGTGTGATATTAGAGGACAACTAGAGGAGTCAGTTTCTCCTTCCACCATGTGGGTTCCAGGGCTCGAAGCTTAGGTAGGTTCTCGGGCTTGGTAGCCAGCACCTTACCCACTGAGTCAATACTCTTCCTTTGTTTATTTGTATTGCTTGATTTGTTTGAGACAGTTTCCCTGTGTAGTCCTGACCATCCTAGAACTATCTCTGTAGTCCAGGCTGGCTTGGAACTCAAGAGATCCACCTGCTTCTGTCTCCCAAGAGCTTGGATCAAAGGTGTGTGCTGCCACCGCTGCCACCATCACCACCACCACCTCATGAATTTTTCTTTTTTAAAGCCACAGACAGTAAGGATTTGAACTTGAGCAAAGGTGCATAATCAGGAAGCCCTACTACCATCTGGGACAAAGCCAAAATGAGCAGCAAGAGAGATGAGAAAACCTTCACCCATCTAGGATGATAAAATCGGAAATTTTAAATGAACTGCTGAAGGATTCACTCCAACATCCTAACCAATAGGTAGACTTCAAAATAGGTATGAAGCAGCTGGTTGTGATGGTTCACGCCTGCAGTCTCAGTACTTAGGAGACCAAGGCAGGAGGATGGAGATCAGCCTGAGCTACATAATGAATTCCAAGTCATCGTGGACTACAGAGTGAGACCCTGTTTCAAAAACAGTAACAACCAAAAAACAAAACAATAGGAATTAGGTTTGTGTGCTGCATGTGACAAGAGGCCCCCACAGGCCAACATACAAGCATAGTAGCTGTAGCTGGTTACTAACAGGTATTCATAAATACTAGTCATATGAATAAATGAAAGAATGCATTAAAACTAAATGCTCTCTGATAAGGGGAGGGGAGAAACAGGACCTATCCTCTGATTTCATCTCTTTAGTACTTTCTTCAGCCCAAGTGGGGTGGTTGGGAGAGCAAAAGGGCTAAGAGGAGATGGTAGGATGGGTCTGAGGCAGTGGTGCTGTGTGGTAGCTCTAGGCATCACCTAAGACAGAGCCTGGAGAATTCCAGAGGAAGCTATAGTCAACAGATATAGAAGCCCTGGGTGGAAGGGAAGAGCGCTTGGAGAGGAGTCCAAGACTACCTGAGCTGCATTCAACTCTGAGTTCCACAGGAGGAGCCTAACTAACTGAGCCATTCCACAGTGCCCAGATTAGCCCCTAGCCAAGTCTAGGACTCCCATTTCCATAAGCAGTACTGCACTCTTCTTGGCCTTTTCTTGGCTTGTGAACAAGGTGCATTCTCACACATGAATGCATGAGCGCATGACAACACAGGCAGGCAGGCTCTCCAATTACAGTCTCCCACCCTGGCCGTCCCTCATTATAGGCAGCGCTCATACAGACAACAGATAATTTCAGTGCCTTCATACAATAGGCCTGCCACACACAGCTGTTTACCAGATGAAATATATTATTACTATAAACAGTCACAATGGCAAAGAAAAACCCATGTTCTTTGTGGCCTTTCCTGCCTCCTCATCAGAGCCAAGAGTACCTGGGGTCCACTGCTGCCCTTTTACAACTGAACTGAGACCCAACGTCCTTTTCCCCAAATCAGAGAGCTAGCCCATTCCTCAGCTGCCAGCTGCTCTTCAAAGTTATCTGACCCAAGGGCCCTGAGCAGTCTGTAGGTAACAAACAACACAGGGTTAAGAGCATTTGTTGTTCTTCCACAGGACCCGGGTTCAATTCCCAGCACCCACATGGTGGCTCACAACTGTCTATAACTCCAGTTCCAGGGGACCTGACACCCTCATACAGACATGCATGCAGGCAAACGCCAGGCCACTGCCCAGTGGGGACCAAAAGTGGTGTTTTGGTGTATGTTTGTAACCCAGCACTTGGGAAGTGGAGGCACAAAGACTGAGAGTTCAAAGCCAGCTATGAAACACCAATACCAACAACCAAAAGGCGGAGGCTATAGCACAATGGCAGAGTCCCTATCAAACAAGCTTTGCCTTTAGTTCCATTGCCAGCATCACACAAAGTAATGGAAGAGTCCCAAAGCACCTCTTCCCTAACACAGAGACCTCACTCCACACGGTACACATGCTGAGCCTTACCCAAGAGAGTCTACCAACCACAGCAATAGTCACAGAACTATATATTGGTCCCTAAATATAGATATATAGCCACCAACAGTACCCACTTACACATAAGAACAAACTGACATACTACAAAAGTCCTCGCAGGTAACTAAAACATGTACAAATTGGGAACCTGTCAAAATTAGCAACCCCTCTATATTAGTCAGCAGATACAGTAGCACATATCTATAATTAACACTGAGGAGCCTGAGACAGGACGATTACCATGACTTTAAGGCCAGCTTGGACCACAGAGTGAGAGCCTACCTCAAAAAACTGAAGGTGAAAAAGACTGACACGACTATGTACTCACATTCACAGGCGTGTACCCATCTCCTCAGGTGGCTCAATTCCACACATGGGTGGTGCCCAACCCACAGGAAGGAACCAAGATAAATCAATCTTGTGCAGACAAGGAATCTCAGCCACAACCTGACAAACTCATCCATACAGGTAAAGTGAACTGGTCTTTAATAGCCACTATGTCAATAATCTTATTAATAAAATAAAATGTAAAGGACTGCTGGTTGCAGGCTCATAACATACCTACAACATCTTTTCAATAGTACACACTGGTGATGGCAGGAAGTGACCCGGCAGGGTCTGATGCTACTCCTGATGCTCCTGTGCCAGGAAAGCGACAGTCTGTGGTTTTCCATCCATTAAATTCAGCTGCCACCCAAAATGCGAGTTCAACATTCTTCTGTTTAGGAAGCATTCCACTCTTTAAGTCTTAGAAGCCTTTCCAGTGTAAACCGTCTAGCAGCTGAGATCCTCCAAGGCCCACTTCAGAGGACTTGGGTAGCTAGGACTGAAAAAATAGAGGCTGGTTAGAGGGTGGACGGAAGCAGAGTAGTTAGAAGTCAGGCCTGGAGATTGGCTGGAAAGAGGAAGGTTGTGCCCTGTGCTAGGCCAGCATGCCTCCAGTGAGGATATGGAGCTAGGACAGCAGACCCTGATTCACAGCAAGTACAGGCAAAAAGCGTAGTCAGGAGATGAATACAGGCCTCTGTGTCTGAGTGGAGGCTGTCTGGCTCTTGGGAGGTTAGGTCTGAGCCTTTCAAGTCTTGCTTGTCTGGCCAAACCAGTCTTTGCTTGAGCCCAGGGCTCAGCAAGGGTGAAGAGCCTTCCGAGTCCCGGTACAGAACTGGTGACTTCCTGGGCCTCTTATAAGAAAGACTCCTGGTCCAAGATACTTATTAGAAATTAAGGGAGGCAAGAAAGACCTACCAAGGGTTTGTGGACAAAGAGGTAAGCAGAGTGGCCACCTGGCAGCTCAACAGACTGCCAGCTCTCCTCAGATTGAGACTCCCCATTCAAGGTCCCCCACAGATGCATAGGACAAAGGATCCCTTGTATAGCATTACAAGAGAAAGGCAGAGCATGTGCCTCATGTACCTACAGGAGTGGTGGCATATTCAAATGGACAGACCTAGCAGGGGTGACACTAATACCTCTAGAGACCAGAGCATGGGTAAATTTCTTCCTTTTAACTTGTCATATTTTCCAAAAGTTCTATAATAAGCCTGTCCTCCTTTTATAGCAAGGGGAAAAGGCTATTAAAGTCACCAAGTGCCTTACAAATCCAAATATACAGCATGACTCCTTCATTCTTTGCATTTATTGTGTTCATCCCATATTGTTTCTCACATTCATGGAAAGCATGTCAGCACTGGTTCCAGACTGGTGGGATTGAGAGAGAGAGAGAGAGAGAGAGAGAGAGAGAGAGAGAGAGAGAACGAGAACGAGAACGCATATCCTTTTACCTCCTAAACCATGTCATTGGTTCTATTATTTTTTTGAGATGAGGGTTTTGGTATGTCGCACAGGCCAGTCCTGAACTCATGGGATCAAAGGGTCTCTTCCTTCTGAACTCAAGGAGCTGGGATGACAGGCATGTGTGGGCCTGGCTCTCCTGCTTTTGAATTTTTGTACAGCCAACATACTAACGGTCTGATAACCTCATGAAAAACAAAAACGAAAAAAACACTGACTGGGAAGTTTTTTTCCTCCTTACTGAGGCTGACCTCAATATTGCTAGCCTCCCAACCCCAACTTCCTTAGTGAGGGCAGTACAGGTGTGCACCACTACTACTGGGCTAGGTATGATATATCAAGATTGCATCCTCCCGCTTCCACAGAAACCTACTTTTAATCTGTGTGTGCCCTGAATGAAGTCGAAGAAAGGCAGAGAGTCCAGCTGCTTGAGAGAATAGTCTTCCTGCTAAGCCTTAAAGACCAGTATTAAATTTGGCTGCCTGCTCCGTACAGGCAGAAGGGGCAGAAGCCAACTGAATTGGTGCATCTTATTGGACTAGGGGAAAGAAAACAGATTTGGGGTGTGAAGTTAGGGACTCAAAGCAAGAAAAACATGTGGAGAAAGGGCAGTGTTAGAAGGGGGCAAATTCGGCAACAAAAGTTCAGGAAGAGGTTTCCCCAGAGTAGGCAATGGGGCCCGGGCTGAGGAGATAAGAATGAGCCTCCCGGCCAAGCAACCAAACGGCTGTCAACTACAAGGGGCTAAGGACTGGGCTCCGTCGAGGACCAGCGTGACCTCTGGGCCCAGCATTGCTGGGCAATAGAGTGTCTGCGCATTCCCCGTTCCTCGTTCGAGAGGCAACGCGCAAAGAAGAACCTAGTCTGTGGCGCCGGGGGGTAGGGGGTGAACGGGGGGAGGCGGGAGAGGTATCCTTCATCTTAGGTAGACTGTAGCACACAGGCCGGGAGCCCCAAGAGCACCGTCGCAGGTCTGGAAGCCACACCTCCGGCTTCGCGTTCCCGGAAAGGGGCCCGGCTCTGCC